CAGTTACAAATTTTATTCTTTCAAAGCCCATGAGTTCACCCTGTTCCTAGGTTTTAGTGGAACTTGTAACCCTGTATCTTATTTTTGTTGTCCTATGTATTTATATAACAACAACACTGAAAAAAACCAGGACAAAAAGGAACAACCAAACATGGAAGAGAAGAAACAACCGTAGCAGACTTTTATTGCAGTATGTTATGGCATTTTACAGACTTGTAATTAAACCTGGTTAAATTCAACATTAGTGATTGATATTGAAAAGTAATGTAGACATGGGGTATGGGGATCCAACTTCTGTTTGATTCCATTAAATACTGTCATAATTTTTTTCGAAATATTTTACTTGACCATGTGATGCCATGTGCCTTAAAAGATGATAAAAACATATAACGGCATCTTTATAAATAATAATTGGAAGAAACCGCTTTCATCTTTCAATAAACTCATCATAGGTACCAGGATTAAAAATTGTGTACGGCAGACGTGCGTTTCGTCTACAGAAGAATATTGACACTACAATTATATATTTACTAGTCCAATCAATTTATTTCTTGTGCTATGACTAGTTCGTATACCTGAACTAAACCATAATATTCAACGACTACATATGACCATAACCACCGTATCCAGAAAACAGGTCGGGGTACATTACGAAAAACAACATTAGTTTACCGTTGTTCTCGTCTCGTAACTACATTTATAATATACAAATCAAGATCTAAACAAAACCTGAGGGAATTGTATGAACTCAAAACGGATCGAGACCAGATGCGTGGACAGAGCATGTATCTTTGGCAGAGGGAAAATCATTCAAAGTTTTGTTTTTTGATTAAGGACATATAATTACATTGCATGTATGTTTCATTATATTACGTTATTTTGATTGGCTAACAGCAATCTCGCGTCCTTCTGAAATCGACATTCATTACACAATGAAATTTAACATTCATGATGACACTAGGTCCCACAATAAAGTGCAAAGGTAAATTAAATAAAAACTTGATAGAAATCGTGTTTTCATGATCCTAGCTAAAAAATGTAATTATAAGTATTGAATGCTTCTTTTTGTAATTTCATACGGTTGTAAAAGCGTTTACCGTGCGCACATTTTTAGAATGAAGCGCGGAAGTACAAAATGTACTTCGGTCAACGCTTTTACAACCCTATGAAATTACAAAAAGAAGCATTGAATACTTATAATTACATTTTTCTCCTCTTATATTTGATGCGTTTCCCTCAGTTTTAGTTTGTAACCCGGATTTGTTTTTATCTCTATCGATTTATGAGTTTCGAACAGCGGTATACTACTGTTGCCTTTATTTACACCCCAATGAATTTACAAAAAGAAGAATTCAATTCTTAATTGAACTTTGAGATTAATTATTTTATTGTGAAATCTTTTTCTTTGAAATCTATAAACATCATCTTTCCTTTAATTGGTTCCCTTATGTTTAGTCTTCAGTCGGAGTCAGTCTTTTGAACTGACCTAAACCAATATTTTGAAGTCAAAATAATTTCTAAACTGAAATTCAGTGTTTTAATCGATCTACCCGTGACAGTCTGTAAGTTAGTTCTACATGTTGGTTTGTGTTCTACAGGCAAATGACTAGCGGTCGGTCGCTGCCTCTCGTTTCGGCATCCTCGCCAGGATCCGCAACAGAACCTGTTGCATTTGTTTTTATTTATTACTGTAACACAGCGTTGTTATGCATCATCCGATATACGATTCTACAGGCTACACTCAGTTAAAATGTAACAATGAGTAGTTTTACAGATCAGACGACTAATCTGGTTTCTAAAGATTGAAGACCGCTAAAATATGTCGCCTGTGAGTAGAGACGCTGACATATAGTATATATCGTGGTGGTTACTGTGAATCTTATACAATAGCAGAAACAGTACCAATTTTACCGCAATAGATTAGCATTTCGACAATTAATGTCTTTTTAGTGATGCGCGAGACCGAAATCTTTGAAAATCCAATAGATATAAGAAGATGTGGTATGAGTGCCAATGAGACAACTCTCCATCCAAGTCAAAATTTATAAAAGTAAACCATTATAGGTCACAGTACGGTCTTCAACACGGAGCCTTGACTCACACCGAACAGTAAGCTATAAATGGCCCCAAAAAAATTACTAGTGTAAAACCATTCAAACCGGAAAACCAACGGTCTAATCTATATAAAAAACGAGAAACGAGAAACACTTATGAACCACATCAACAAACGACAACTACTGAACATCAGATTCCAAAACTGTATAAAACGTTGAACATGTGATAAAACATATAAGGACCAAACCAGGTAAAGGAATTACTCGGCGCTATGTATGAAGGAGATACTTTGCTTACATTTAAATCATTTCCAAAATTTAAATTTCAGTAAAACAGTATCGTATTTGCACGTCAGTACTGGCTACTGGAATAGTGATACCATCGGGGACTAAACGTCCTATAGCAGAGGTGTCTACCTAATGGTCGTTATAACATGAACGGTACTAATTTTAATGGTAACAGATAATAAATGTCTCTTCAGTATAACGCACAAGGCAAACATATTTGAAAATCCAAATCATAAAACAATCAGAACCAAAAGCCAAATTCAGTCAAGGAAACAATATTCGTATTTGTATGCCAGTACCGAAATATGGCTACCAAGTGATATTAGTGTCGATTTCAGTCGTTGTTCCTCGGTATGTTACGGGGCAGTGCGTAGACGTGGGAAGTTGACAATAGGTAAGCTTAAATTCGTCATGATTTTCATGAATTCTTATATGACTGATTTTTGTTTGCTTTACGTCCGATGACAAATATTTCATGCCTTTCAGGACGAGTACAAATTGACAATGAATCCATGGGTAGGTTCTGCAAGGTAGGCCAACTGGGAAAATGGGCGCGAAATTTGGACTGCAACTTGATATGAGGGTATGTATAGGATCAGAAGTTTAGCCTTGCAATCGGCCACTTACGGACATTCAAAGAGGTGTTGCAAGGGATCTTTAACTCCATAAAGCGTGGCACTCTCTGTTCACAAGGCATCGGAGTTATCATTCCTTTGCTGACCGGACGTGGTTGTGAGTTCATACACCCTGCACAGCCAAACGGACGCCACCTTTCTCAGGGGTTTAAATGCAGCTTGGAAGAAGACCAAACGTGATCATATGTCTGTACCCCAGTAACCTTTGGGGTAAAAATTTTGTTTGAAGTCGTCCACATGTCTTAATATTACAAAGAAGACCCGAATATGTCTAATTTCGGTATGGTAACCTAAATTTCAAATTCTCTGGGAAATATAAGATGCAAGCACTCACTGACATGTGGCATATTGAATGACAGGACACCATCAATATATCTGAAAGTGAAATTAAAGAAGTTGGAAAGACACTTTTTCTTATTGTCGCAAATAGTATCAATTTGCATACCGACTGTTTGTTAAATCTACCAAACTCAACAAATTTATCGTCGATCAAAAATTCCAGCACTTTGATGGAACAAAGTAAAAAAGTATTGTAATGCTAGGACATCTTTGCAACCAAAATCAGTTGAAATAATTTGAAATGCCAATTCAAAAACATTTAATTTGAAGATGGGATATTATTTTCAAGAAGAGTTCATGTTTGTTTAGTAAATAAACAAATTGATAGTACTAAAATACATTCTGGATGTTTGTATGCATCAAAGTAACAACATGAGCAGAAATGGGCCAAAGACTCAAACAACAGGGATGCAAAACTTATCGGTAGTACTTTGTAGAGTCATATGATAGTAATGAGACTGGTATTTGATATTATTTCTGGAACAGCTATTCAAATGCTAGTAAGGAAAGTTGATATCTTATAATTGCTACAAATTAGCAAAAAAAAGTACAACTACAGTCTCTCTCATTGTATATTACCGATAAATGGTTAGATCATAAAAACATGGCTATCATACATTTAGTCCGATGTTGCTGATGTCAGACGGCCGTTTCGAGGACAGATTGACGCTCGGAGACGTTAGAGCACAGTTCATAAAGAAAACATGGAATAAAGGCTCTCGTTTCCACTCGCCAAGTAGTCCATGTTCCAATAATAATAATAATACAGTGTTTCTAAAGTTTCAGTTGATAAATTATGTAATATTACTGAAGCCAAGGCGGTCATTCCCTCCGGCAATGTTGACCGGTTCTAGGTATTTTGTATAGAATTTTTCATGTAATGCTCGCATACGTTCTATATTTAATTATTCCCAAACTTTTAGTCTCTGGTGAACCTGATGAAGTTCATTCCAAAAATCGAGTTCGTCTGTTTTCGCGACTTCTTGGTTGTTGGTACCACTCACTAACGTGGTACTGTCGTTTATGGATAACCAGTGCTTCGTCTCTGGCATTACTTAAGAAAACGTTTTGTCAACAAACTTTCAGTAAAAAGATTATGGAATAATACCACAATTTCGGTTGTGTCCCCTTCGGGAAAACAACTTTTTATTTTTGTATTAAGACTATAGTCCACTCGATAGGGCAACACCAACGTTTTATAGCAGAACTGAGACTGTATCCCCTCGGTCAAAGCATCTGTTTATACCAGAACATATGTTTATTCTCTCGGACAATGTCAAATTTTTGTTACGAAAGTATCTTATAAAGGTTATTCATGAAACATGTGCCATGTGCAAGGAAATCATCATTTTCCTTTTTTCTAGTTTTTCCAGGTATCTATAAAATTTCTAGAAAGTTTGAAGACTTTGGGTTGAAAGCTTTAGGTAGAGGAGTTGGTTATACGAACAGGTACACACATATCCCACCAATTAATTTTTTGTACTTGGAATGGACATGATCGTAAAAGGCAATCATCCAACATCTTCTATTTTTCTTATAAAGACCAGTGTTCGCTTAATCTTACTCCCATTGAAAATAACAAAAATAAAAACATAAATACGTCGCTTCGTATTTCCGGTATCATATATGCATATTACATAAGCACCATCGGTAACCAGCTGGACGATTGATATTTATAACAAAATGAATGTTCATTACACTTTATTGCTTTCAATCCTCTTCACCGATCATCTTTGAACAACGTATTTATAACAGGTACTCTGTAAAAAAAAATGTACATTCACAAGCATCATTTCAATATTTAAAACAAACAAGAAGGTATAATAAAATAAGTTTGTTCATGTATAAAATAACTAACAGAGAAAATAACATAAACTGATCACAGAGATATGTCTCGCTTTTTTGTAATTTCAATAATGCAAATGTTGAAATTAAAATAGCAAAACTTTAACGTGTAAGTTTTGCAAATATTGAAAGTCAATGAACCATAACTGAAGGTAAATGGCTAAACAATCTCCATGGAAATGAGATGTGCCAATGCTAATACAACTGCATACCAAATACCATTGACTTGTCATAAGTTCCCTTTAAACAAACCTAAACACAAACTTATACATGTAAACTAAGCAAAATTTCAAAGTCAATAAACCATAACTGAGGAGGCGGGGTCAAATAATCTCCATGGTAATGAGATGTGCCAATGCTAATTTACAACTGCATACTAAATATCATTGACCTACCACTAGTGGTTCCCCATAACCGACCTAATCGCAAACTAATACATGAAAACTAAGTGAAAGTTTCAAAGTCAATAGACTATGACTGAGGGGGCAGGGCCAAATAATCTCCATGGAAATGAGATATGCCAATGCTTATACAACTGCATACCAATTATCATTAACTTACCACTAGTGGTTCCCCATAAACGGACCTAATCACAAACTAATACATGAAAACTAAGCAAAAATTCCAAAGTCAATAGACCATGACTGAGGGGGCGGGGCCAAATAATCTCCATGGAAATGAGATATGCCAATGCTTATACAACTGCATACCAATTATCATTAACTTACTACTAGTGGTTCCCCATACACTGACCTAATCACAAACTTATACATGAAAACTAAGCAAGTTTCAAAGTCAATAGACCATAACTGAGGGGGCAGGGCCAAATAATCTCCATGGAAATGAGATGTGCTAATACTAATATAACTGCATACCAAATATCATTGACTTACTACTAGTGGTTCACCATAAACTAGACCTAATCACAAACTAATACATTGTTGACGCCGCCGTCGCCGACGCCGCCGCCGCCGCCGGAAACAGCATACCTATGTCTCGCTTTTTGACTCCGTCAAGCGAGACAAAAATCAGTTAAATTGTTTTTTCTTTTTCTTCTGTATTTCAAGTTGCAATTTGTTTTCAGTGAAAAATACCTAGACACAATATTTACTCAAAGCATTTTCTGTATAGTTCAGTTCAATATATCTTCAGTTTTCTTTCAAGTGCTTAAAGCATTAGCATTGTTCTATGGCAAGCCGTTTTACTATTTATTCTAACTTCAAGATATCTAATAAACTTTATAAGATATCTCATATAGTTTATAAGATATCTTATCTTACCTCCTATAGATTTATGGGGATATGATTGGTTAAAGGACTACACGTGGTGACTATATATGTTCGATATAAGGTGTCCTAAAAAATATGGGGTTAGTTACCATATAGGGTTAGTTACCATATGGGGTTAGTAAGGAGTTACTTCCCTTTCAAAACAAAAAAGAAATCTGAAAGGTTTCAACAGACGAAGAAATTGATGATGAACGATTGAAATAAATTGATAAAACAAATTTAAAGCGAACAAGTTGTTATTGTTGGCTTTTGTTTTTTGTATAGACAAATGGAAGTAGGTTCTTAATACTAAGTATTGAAGACTTAATCACTTTGATAGGCCGCTAGTCTAAATACCACATGTGAAGATAGTCGTTAAGATAAATTCGTTACACGGTGTGCTAGTAACCTATTACGATATATATGGGGTCAGTAAATTCCATATGGGGTAAGAGCGAAGAGCTTCGCTCTCACCCCATATGGAATTTACTGACCCCATATATATCGTATTAGGTCACTAACACACCATGTAACTAATACTATATAGTTTATAAGATAACTCATATAATTTTCGTTATAAGATATCTTATAAATTATATGAGATATCTTATATAAATTAACAGATATTTCATATAATTTTCTTTATAAGATATTTTATAAACTTTATAAGATATCTTATATACTTTATAAGATATCTTATATACTTTATAAGATATCTTATATACTTTATAAGATATCTTATATACTTTATAAGACATCTTATAGAGTTTAGAAGATATCTTATAAAGTATATAAGATATCTTATAAAGTTTATAAATTTGATATGATTTTTGGTGTTTTAACACCACTTTTAAGCACCGCTTTTGGGCTATTTCGTGGCAGCCAGTTTTTATTGGTGGAGGAAGCCGGAGTGCCCGGAGAAAACCACCGACCTTCGATAGGAAAACTGACAATCCTAGTCAATTAAGATTGGAGTCGAGTGCACCTGCACGAGCGGGGTTCGAACTCACAACCTCAGTGTTGACTGGGTAGTGAATACAGTAGTAACTACTTAGACCACTTGGCCACCGAGGCCCCCTAAACAACAAAAATACCGAACTCCAAGGAGAACTCCAAGGAGAACTCAAAACGGAAAGTCCCTTAACAATTGGCAAAACCAAAAGCTCAAACACATCAAACGAATGGAAAACAACTGTCATATTCCTGACTTGGTACAGGCATTTCCTTTTGTAGAAAATGGTGGATTAAACCTGATTTTAAAGCCAGCCAAACCTCTTACTTGTATGACAGTCGCATAAAATTCCATTATACTGACAACAATGTGTGAACAAAACAAACAGACGCAATAGGTGTCAAAAACAGGGGCACAGCAGTCAACACTGGGTTATAATCTCAATTACTATAAAAAACAAACAAATATGTCAATAAAGAAAAACAAAATGGTATATAGAAAAAGCACATACAAAAATATGAAATACAAGACTACAAAACATGACCACAGCACAACAACATGACCGCGGGATGCATAAGTACCAAGTCACGCCAATCGGATATTTCCAAAAATGGACCAAACAGTAAAGGTTAATAATTTACAAAGACATATTTAAAAGAACACTATGCCACGTAATTAAGATGATAAACACCGTCAGTACCTAGAATCTATATATACATCAAGACCATCATGTATTATTTGTGAAGTTGATACGGAATATTTATCTTGGTATCTTCCGATGAATTTTTTTTAGAAAAAGGACGAGACGTTCCTTGACATAATCCTGGCTTATCAACTTTCTGCTCAGACACTGGTGACGTTTTATGAAGTCCGAGTAGCAGCTGCAAGCTCTTGAATACCGAATGAGTTGGGAAATGTATATCCCATATGCAGGTGAAGTTGATATATTGCTACTAAGGTGTGGGAAATTGATAATTTCAAAATTTAAAACGTCTCGTTTGTCATAGATTCTGGTAGTGAGATGTCAAATTCGAGGTATAAGTCTAAAAATGAGGCAGAGGAAGCCGTGTCTGTTGTTTATTTAATTTATAGTTCTGGAGGATATATAAATAAAACCCAATCAGAAAAGATATCTTATAAAAACAGGATTATATAAGATATCTTACATGTTATATGAGATATCTTGCAGTTAGACTAAATAGTAAAACGGCTTGTCATAGTGTTCACCGATTTGACCCAAATTCAATTTAAGTTATAACATGTTGTGTTTGTGCTTCGTACCGATCATTTGAGTTAAGCCAATTGCTACTGATTTATACAGTTTGTTCTTGTGTTGTGCTGTTACACCACTGTCCCAGATTAGGGGAGGGTTGAGTGCTCACAGCATGTTTAACCCCGCCCCATTCTGTATGTGTCTGGCCGAAGTCAGGAGCCTGTAGGTTGTATGTACTCTCTATGCCTTATTCAAGTTTGTCACTTTCAGGCGAGGTATTTACTATGGCAAGCCGTTCTCGTCAAAACTATGTTTAAACCCTTTTTTCGAAAAAATTACACACTGAGAATTAAAAAAACCACACATGTAAATTTTTCGAAAACTGGTTTAAACATAGTTTTGACGAGAACGGCTTGCCATAATTTACTGTTATCATTATAAACCATATACAACTTCATCGTGTTTTATTGTAATTTGTTGACTAAAGAGTCACCAGCTGGCATTCAGTCTAAATTTTAATTGTAACATAAAAACCAGTGTCCAATTGTTAAGTTAAGTCTACAAACCCCATCACATCCACCAGCTCGTTGGCAAGCAGTAAACTGACACTGGAATTTTATTTTCTGATTTCCTCGCATTCTAAAAGCTTTAAAAAATGGACTGAAAGTAGCATTTCCTGTTGTGGTAAAACCAAGAGTCTTCTTGATAATAAGCCCATCCCCGCATCTACAAATTTTAATAAGTTTACAATGTACATATCATAATTGTCACTGGACATAACGCTTACATGCCATAAAGTTTTCTACAATAATTTCTAATGGACTAGCTAGTTTATACCCCCTCCCCCTTTTATCCCGGCCACGTGTATACATTTCCTAGGTCAAGAACTTCGTCAAAGATGTGTTTCCTATTTGGCATTTATGGAATTTAGCCATGATGGCTGATATTTGATAGTCCCTGTTATTCACAATTCTAGACTCTGGTGATATAGAATTTGGCATATATAGTTATTGTATAAACATACTTTTGTCTATGGTTAAAGACTATAAGTTGACTGTTTTTGTACTGAAAATCGTTTTCATAAAGATCAAATGCATTTGTAAGAATAAACTCACCCGCTTATTAAAATGTTGAATGTCTCCATTCCATCGTATGATATAGCTTGGCAGCTGAAAGCTCTTAGGGCCGTCTCGTTACTTGTAGCTGAAATCAACACAAACCAGATTGTTCTCTTAGGATTTAAGTAAGATTTTTTTTATACAACCTAAACAGAATCTTTTGTTTATACATCACGTACTGTATAACACGTACATTATACTGATCTTAATTTCAATGTGTAAGGTCGCCACCTGACGGCCGGCTACTTTTACCTAATTGATGTTTTTGCATCGGTATGTGTTTTTTTTGGTTAGTTTTTATAATTACACACGATCGAAAACTTTTATTGTACCTATTTTAGCTAAAAAAAAATACAATGCAAATCTGTGATCAAACGTAAGTTTTGGCTAGCTTTTGTTTCGTGAGGTTGGTAGAAAGCTGGCTCCTACTAGAGATTTCCAATACAATGACTTTACTCGACATAACCAACTTATCTGAACGTATCTCGGCCTATTGCACTTAAGCATGAGGGAGGGGAGCATAGACTGCATGTATTTTTAGCTCGTTGAATACACATACTTTTTTTAAGGTGTTATTTAGAAATTAATCCAATCTACTAATTTTAAATCTTTACATATTTTGTTATTAAATTCAGGATGATTTGATTGACAACCTTTATGGGAATAATTAATCCAGTTACCTGTAATCAAATGCACCGATCATTACTTGGTCATTTCACTTGGCTCATAATTTAGTTCTTAAAGGGTGAATTCTTAAAACCACTAAATTAAAATTAAGTATGAAATAATAAAAATATTGAAATCTGAAGTGAGATGATAATCACATTTTGGATCTATATGTTATAAGGTTAAAACAGGAGCAAACACACCGGAATGTAAAAGGTGTAAATGACTTATATTTCTATAATTTATATCAAGATATTTTTGTCAGAAGCAGAAATTCCTATCACTGATGCATCTATTTGATAGTAGTTTGTCATCTTTCCGTAGGTTTTTATCAAATGGAATTTATGAGGATGCATCTTATAGAAAAAAAAATGAAAACACTTTACTAAAGCATTTTTTTTTTTTACTTCTCGTCTTTAATTATAATGATGTATGGGTTCTATGAAAAGTTTGTATGTATAATTTAACATCATTGCTCACAAATTGTTTTTATGAAATGTTTGGCGTTCAAGTTATACAAATACGTCTGAAAAACGAGCATGTATGGAATACTTGATTGCAGTTTTGTTAAGTAGAATCCTTTTAGTTTTATGACCAACTTAATATGTTAGCAAGGGAATATTATACATGTGGTAACGTCCGTTCGTCCGTCCCGTTACAAATTTAAAACTTTTTAAATTATATACAGAATTATGGTTTGACTCGGATTTAGTGTTTCATTGAACATGGAAATGTGATAATGTAAGGGGGCACGTTGTCTTTAGTGGCGGATCCAGAAATTTTCATATGGGGGGCCCACTGACTGCCATAAGAGGGGGCCCGCTTCGTCATGCTTCAGTGATTTCCTAAATAATCAACCGAATTTTTCCCACAAAAAAATCCGCCTCTGGTCTTATGGCCACATATTCTTGTTTCAAATGTTTTAAATATGCATGTAGATATATGAGTATCTTCAATATTCATAACCGCATCGGTGGATTTGTGTTCGATCCTCAGCCGATTCAAGTCAACTTTTGGCTGCTTTTCTGCTAAGCACGCGATATTTAGGAGTAACAGAAAAGATTGGCGTTGTGAAAGTCGTGATCTTTGAAGCTACATTGGAAATAAAAACGTCAAAAAATAGGAAGAAAATAGCGTGCCGGTGTCATATGGTATTTTGAACTCCATGGAAAATTGAACCCCCCCCCCCCCCATGGTAAATCAACCCCCCCCCCCCCTGTATGGAAAATTTTCCATGGTGGGGTTCAAAATACCATATGGGAAAAATTGCCCCCCCCCCCCCCCCATGGTAAATTGCTTATTTTCAAAAATTATAGTTATTCTAACTCCTTTACATAGTAACACTACTCCAATAATTAGTTGGTATATATTAAACATCGAGGACCAAAACTTCCAAAAAGTTGCGCCTAACACGGCCAGGGTTTTCTGCCTGGGACAAGAACATCCTTATTATTTAGAATAATTTATACTTTTGCAAACAGTAAACCTGCTTATGAATATGTTTGGAAAATTTTACTTAACCGTGGTATTTTGACCCCCCTGCCATGGTATATTGAACCCCTTACTTTACACCTCCAATTTAAAAAAAAAATCATAGCGAACATATTGTCATTAGATAAACTGTTATACTTTTGATCTAAAACAGGGGGGTTCAATTTTCCATGGTGGGGTTCAAAATACCATATGGGAAAAATGACCCCCCTGCCATGGTATATTGAACCCCCTACTTTACACCTCTAATTTGAAAAAAATATAGCTATTTTAACTCCGTTACATAGTAATAATACTCCAATAAGTAGTTGGTATGTATTAAACCTGCTTATGAATATGTTTGGAAAATTTTACTTAGCCATAGTATTTTGACCCCCCTGCCATTGTATATTGAACCCCATACTATACACCTCTAATTTCAAGAATTATAGCTTTTCTAACTCCTTTACATAGTAATAATACTCCAATAAGTAGTTGGTATTGTATTAAACATGTTGGAAAAGATGTTTGGAAAATTTTACTTGGCCATGGTATTTTGCCCCCACCCCCCCTCCCTGTTATGGTATATTGAACCCCCTACTATACACCTCCAATTTCAAAGATTATAGCTATTCTAACTCCTTACCATAGTAATAATACTCCAATAAGTAGTTGGTATGTATTAAACCTGCTTGAAAAGATTTTGGAAAATTTTACTAAGAGGAATATGACAGTTGTTGTTCATTCGTTTGATGTGTTTGTGCTTTTGATTTTGCCATTTGATTAGGAACTTTCCGTTTTGAATTTTCCTCGGAGTTCAGTATTTGTGTGATTTAACTTTTGACCCCCTGCCATGGAATATTGAACCCCCTACTATACACCTCTAATTTCAAAAATTATAGCTATTTTAACTCATATTTTATTATGAGTTTAAATATTTTTTCATAGCCAACGTATTGTACATTAGATAATCTGCAATACTTTTGATCTTAAACAGGGGGGTTCAATTTTCCATGGTGAGGTTCAAAATACCATATGGGAAAATGACCCCGGGGTCAAAATACCATGCGGTATAATGACCCCGGGGTTAATTTTTCATATGGTATTTTGACCACGGGTTCACTTTTCAGGGGGTTCAAAATACCATATGACACCGGTCTGACTGCATTGCGCATCGAAATCTTATTAACTTATTTTTCTATGCTCCTTACTTATAACATATACACTCAAATGACTTATGCATTGAAACAAATTCGGTTACCCCCGATAAATTGTTCATCAATATAATGGATAAAATACTATAAGCTAAGTACTTCAAATTTCAAAAGATATAAAATATTTTGATTGGAAATGTCTTTTGTATTTGGACTCGTATAGCATTTTAAACTGTCATTTCCGTTAAACCAAACCAAACTTAACAGAACAATCCTCAATCGACCACACCTTATAAATACAGCCCACATAGGGATTTCTTTTTATCTTTAGATTTGATAATAAATGGAATATACTTTTCTTTAGAAATCAAATGAAAGCGATAGTTTTATCTCAATTTTCAAACTTTTATAAAGAGACAAAACTCTGACAAACACTGATTTCGACATTTCAGAACTTGTCAGAAAACTATCCATCTAAATAATCTTTTCCCCACAAAAATATAAATAAATAGATAGATAGATAGATAGATAAAGAAAACAAGTTGCTTTCTTTAAAGAAAGAAAAGCAATACGTAATCCCGAGACCGCTCAGCCTGACTGGTCACCAAAAAATTGTTGCTGATTTTTTTTGCTTTTGATTTGAAATAATTGACTCAGCACCTTTTTTGAAAATATGTAATTGTTTGTAGATTCTTGCAAAAGTCAATTAAAAGCACTGTTGGATTTTTGTTGTAAATAGAAATGAGTATACAGCTACCATTTGAATTTACCTTTTAAGGCTTGACTATTATATTTATTACTTGAGAATGTACATCATTTTGTTCTTCGTGTTCAATATACAAAGTCCTAATCCTATTGCAATTCCCTGTTTCTGCAAACCGGATGTCTAAAGCAAATCGCTATATAAATGTCAGCACTCAGTTTGCTTTATAATCTGGATGCATTTATTTTATCTGTCATACCTTCATGTTTGTTTCCTGGGTGCCTTCAATTATTCTTATACTCATTATTGAAGCTATATGTACCCATGATAGAGGTGGTATAGAGAAATTGAAAGTCCAATTTCAATGTGAAGTGTAATTCTGTGTCATACAACTAATAAGAAGGTTTCGTATTTTGTTTTTGAGAGTAACACACCAGCTTCATTTAAGGACCTCTTATATACTCACAATTATTTTGGTCTAATAAAACATCTCAAATTTTAAGGATTTCCTGAAGTTACTTCAATCAATCCAAATATTTTACAGGAAAAAACTTAGTTTTGAAGAATATCTTGTTTTATGAATACCTGGACATGCTCTCAATGGAAACAATTTATATAAAAAGATATGTTTGGTAAAAGTCACTAAACTAATCGTAGATACCAGGATTAAAATTTTGTACACCAGACGCGTGTTTCGTCTATAGAAGACTCATCAGTGACGCCTGAATCGAAAAAGTTAAAAGGCCAAATAAAACTTACGAAGTTGAAGAGTATTGAGGACCCAAAAGTCCGAAAGGTTTTGCAAATTACAGCTAAGGTAATCTATTCCTGGGGTACAAAATCCTAATAATATTACGAAAATTTCAAAGTTTATAAAAGGACAGTCACTCAAAAAAGAAAAAAAGAAAAAAGAAATGAGAAACAACTAGATGTCAGAATACTTTCATGATGATCATGCTTCAAAGTCACATTTCAAGCTCTTACTGCCGTGTCCTGAATTTAGTTAAGAAATGCGAAAATTCACATTCCTTTAGTGAAATTAATACTATGCATGTACGTGGTTTTCTTGTGCAAGAAATAGTATTGATTGAT